TGACTCAAACAATGTAACTCTATATAGCGGTGGGTAGGCCGACACTTATGACACCTGAGCTTTTGTGTATGTACAAGCCATTTTATGGAATAGACTGTCAAACTATGTTCAGCAGCAAACAGCTGTTTCCTCGCTAAAGTGTCGATGCAGAGATCCTATCCCGCGCGGAATGCAGAAAGCGTGACTTCCTTTCTATTTGGCATGCAAAAAGCATGTGATTTTCACGCCGTAGTGGACCGCTGCATGTGGTTATTTTTTGCACGTCCACGTGAGGAACCTGCAAAGCGTCCGCTCTCAACCTCTTAAAAAATTCATTTGGAATAATTGCAGGCTTGAGCGGGTGCCCTCCGAAGCATCGAGAAAATGCGGCAGAGTACAGAGAAATACATGTACATTACACATGAAATGTTAAGAAAAAAAGAATTCCAGCACTTCTCAAACAGAGTTGCAACGCTGGGAGTTTGACCGCCTCATCACCTGTTGCCAGGCAGAATTGGTCGAACTCGTTCATGGGGGATAAAGCAGTTGAGATGATGGATGGATAAACGTCCATGTGAAATTGTTTATTTTTACTCAGATTTGTATTTAATAGAGAGGGAAAAAGAGCTTCAAAAAAAAGTCATAAATACTTTTTTATAAAACTGAAACTCTTTTTCTGTGGTGTATGCGCGCGATGCAGGTGGCGCTAGAGGACTTCCTGCAGAGGCTGAGGAAGGCGGACTTTGACATCTTCCACCCGAGCCTGCAAAAAAGAAACCCCCTCCTCGCCATCCAACTCTACCTGCGCTCCTGGAAGAAGACCTACTGAAGGCCCTCGAAGGCCTGAATCGAGACTTTTGCGGAGGATCACAAACAGGAAGTTGACCTGAAGAAATAGCGGACAGTTCGAGTGGATATAAAAAGTCTGCACACGCCTGTTCCAATGCCTGTTTTTTAAGATGGAGTGGACTTTTCTCCGACAGTTTTTGTGAAGATGAGCGGAGTGAATATTTACTTTGCAAGTCGACTCAGGAGTGTCCGTCCCTAAATTTCAAGTTGGGGGCCACTGTGCTCCGAGTATTAAAAAAAGAAAAGGTTAGTCTGGATCCCTGCTACAGTTCAGAATGGAGGTGTCGGGATCATACTTTGCGGCTGTGTTTCAGCAGCTTGAACTGAGGCCTTACACAAGATGGAGAGAAATATGAACCGTTTGAAACAGCAAAACCTTCAGGCCTCTACTCGAAAGTACCAAAAAAAAAATCAATAAAAGCCCACTAGAACAACTGAGTTTTATCTGCTTTAAGTGAGAGGCATTCGAAGCGGTGGCAGTTATTTGCTGACGCCCATTTAACATGAATTTGAATGGGATTGGTTCATTCCGAACATGGTCACATCCCGTTAGAAGCGGGCGTGCACACCTCGGGTTGTTAATTTTTACCCTTTCCTCCTGGAAAGAGCCGCAAGGTTGTAGTTCACATTCATGGCGGAAAAAAGGTTTGGAAATGATCCTGGTCTCATGTTTTCAGATTCCAAAAACGTGGTACTTGAGCAATAAGGCGTGTCGACTTTTTATATCCACCGTCGGTAACAAAATATTTCTGCTTAGTTACTCTGGTTCGGACCTTATATCAAACAGTCATCCGAGTCTTGAATTCAAGGTGTTCGTTCAATTTGAATCATTGCCTGTTTTTTAAGATGGAGTGGACTTTTCTCCGACAGTTTTTGTGAAGATGAGCGGAGTGAATATTTACTTTGCAAGTCGACTCAGGAGTGTCCGTCCCTAAATTTCAAGTTGGGGGCCACTGTGCTCCGAGTATTAAAAAAAGAAAAGGTTAGTCTGGATCCCTGCTACAGTTCAGAATGGAGGTGTCGGGATCATACTTTGCGGCTGTGTTTCAGCAGCTTGAACTGAGGCCTTACACAAGATGGAGAGAAATATGAACCGTTTGAAACAGCAAAACCTTCAGGCCTCTACTCGAAAGTACCAAAAAAAAAATCAATAAAAGCCCACTAGAACAACTGAGTTTTATCTGCTTTAAGTGAGAGGCATTCGAAGCGGTGGCAGTTATTTGCTGACGCCCATTTAACATGAATTTGAATGGGATTGGTTCATTCCGAACATGGTCACATCCCGTTAGAAGCGGGCGTGCACACCTCGGGTTGTTAATTTTTACCCTTTCCTCCTGGAAAGAGCCGCAAGGTTGTAGTTCACATTCATGGCGGAAAAAAGGTTTGGAAATGATCCTGGTCTCATGTTTTCAGATTCCAAAAACGTGGTACTTGAGCAATAAGGCGTGTCGACTTTTTATATCCACCGTCGGTAACAAAATATTTCTGCTTAGTTACTCTGGTTCGGACCTTATATCAAACAGTCATCCGAGTCTTGAATTCAAGGTGTTCGTTCAATTTGAATCATTTGCATCGGCTGTCACTGTTGACTTCCTTACATCACTTTTCCCACTCTTCTGTGAAGGCAGCATGTGTTGCCGTGCGACTTGAATGACGTTACTCTTTCAGGATTCAGTAACGCGTTGAAAAGTGCAATGTCTGAGGAGGTATGAAGGTGTGTTTGTATTTTTTTCTTTTGTTTTATTGTTGTTGTTTTTTATCACAGACGAGAGCTGGGATGAAAGCTCATTAGTCCTAAAAGAATCCTTTTGCCTGCAGCATTTTGTATAATTGACAGGATTGTTTGGAACACAGGCACACCAGCTGTGTGCTGCGCCTCACTGGCTGCGGCTCAGTTTTATTGACAGATGTCCTCTAGAACGGCCAATTAAGCAACTTCTCACGGTTAACTGCTTGCCACTTCCACAAAGATTTTAATGAGGGAGGGTGAGTATCGATACCAGGTATCGGTATCTGGCCCGTACCGGCCGTATTTCAAAGTTTTGGTTAGTGGTGAAGGCTGCCGATACCACCCACTAATACTTAAACAATTGCAACACGGGCTGTGTCCAAATTCACAGGCTGCATTTTTGGCCGCATGACGTCATTCTGGCATGACTTGACCGCACGTGATGTCCAAATTCGCTAAGGTTTATGCGGTCCCCAATGGCTACGTGAGGAGGAGCCTTCAAAGCCGTCAAAGGACCCAGCCTGTGGATTGTCTTTCGAAAATTTAAAAACCACAAGCGGTCAAGTCATGCAGGAAGTGATGTCATGCGGCCGAAAAAAGCTGTAGTACTCAAGTACGGACTTGACACGTTTTTTTTTGGGTTGTCTCAGACTTGACTCGGACTCCTTGACATTTCACTTGAACGCACTAAATATTTATCAACTCAACCGAGTTCAACTGTTTTTTTTTTTTTTTTGAGAGAGCTTTTTTGTATTATTTTATGAAAATGAACATCTTCCTCCTTAAAAAAAAAAAAAAACTTGAAATAAAGTTTGTCAGATTATTTACTTAGCGATCTGATTAGTTAACCTGACCGTGAGCACCAAAGTCTTTTTCTTTCATTCATGTCAGCCAACAGCGAGTTGATAAAATTTGGTTTGACGAACCATTAAGAACTGGCGTGAGCCAGAAGGTCTTCCAAAAACCGCGATACATTTAAAATAGACGCACAAACCCACTGTGCCCCCATCGTCAGTTCTTCTTTTTCCATTCCACATTATGTGGAATGGAAAAAGAAGAACTGACGATGGGGGCACAGTGGGTTTGTGCGTCTATTTTAGAAGACCTTGACGGGAAAACTCAATTTGAAGTTTTTGAAAGCACATCTTCTACTTGTCCAGTACTTTTTTAACTTGCAATTCAATTCCAACCAACCAACCAACAACTTTCTAAGGACGTTCTGTAATTTTCTGTTACTCTTCCAGTCTATTCCGTTGCAACCAGCTGAGGACATGATAACCTCCACGGCCACTTTTCTCTGGAGGGCTTCCTATGTAAAGCCTCACCACACACAAGTCACTATATGCCGTACTGCTTTCTGAGCACATGAGAAATTGATGTCAAAAGTTGGTCGGTATGACACTTTTTATTGAGCTCAGATAAAGACCCTTTTCACAGACTTTCAGCACAGCTTCAACAGAGAACAAGACAAGGCTCCCTCCCACCCCCATAAAGGCTCATTTCATGCTCATATGAAAATGAACATTCGGCAAATTAAAGCTTTCCCCCAAAATAACTGACAGCAAACGAAGGAAGTATTGAGCACTGTTGTTCTGAAGAAGGGTTAAGAGTCAGTTAGCATTCGGAAGGAACAGCGTTACAGGTTAGCGTCAAAGGTCGATTCGCCGGGAATTGAGTTGGGTAAAGTGTGTTAGCTAAGGAGGCTACGAGCAGAGAAAGATGCTAAATTTGAATAGCAACAACAATTTTAGCGTAGTCAGCAGGATACCGGTTAGGGTTAGCAAGAAATGGGGATGCTAGCTTGCGTTGGCATTAGGAAGGGAGAAGGATAAGGGGTTAGGTAAAAGTTATTTCGTTGAGGTACGGGGAGTTAAGTCCTGGATCCGGAATAGGGTTAGGTTAGGTCAAAGAAAAGCTAAACCCAACCATCATCATATTTGCCGAACATCCAACAAACCGCTCAAAGCCACCACATGAAAAACCGCACTTTTGTGTGTTTCGAGACGTCACATTAAGCAGGCCACATGACAGACAAGTAGGAAAGAAAAGAAAAAAAACTCAAGTCTGTCTACAGCTCTCGTTACTGTTTCTCAGCAGCAACTTCTGCGCGCACAGCCTGAACTTGTGATCACGCACGCTGTAAATGATTACGTTGCAGCAGCTATTGGTGGTCAAAATCCAGAAGGCAAAGAAAGAGAAGTTGCACCACTCGTTGCCCAGAACGTACCCCACCAAGAAGACCGCGATGGGTGTGAAGGAGGCGGTAAAGGCCACCGTCAGTGTCCCGATGGTCTTGGCCGCTTTGATGTCGGAGAAGGTGGGCTTGCTTGCTTTCTGGCATTCGGCCTCCGCCAGGTGCTTCCTGCGCTTGGAGTGCTGCCGAATGCTGGACAATGAGATGATGTTGATGGCCACCGTGCCGCCCAGCAGGGTGAAGTCGAAGGCCGGGAAGATCAGGAGGATGTTCCAGGCCTGCGAAGGGAACTCGCCGATTGTTCCCAGCGCATAGTTGCACATGCGGCTGCAGGTGTTGTACTCCAGGACAATCTTTCGACTGAACACCAAGGGCGACACCGCTAGGAAGAAGCTCCCCAGCCAAGAGAGCACGATGAGGATGCTGGTCCGTTTGCGCGTGATCACCGAGTCCTTATGAAGTGGCCTCAGCACGGCGATGCTACGCTCTATCGTCATCAGGAAGATGGTGGTGATGGAAACCAGGGTGCACCCCGCAAAGATGGGCCCGATGACGGTACAAGGGTGGAAACTCACCGACTGCGAGTTGTGAACTACCCACCGCGGCGCAGACTCGCCGGCCATGAGGTAGACTTCGGCATAGACGGACAGCGGCACCACGAAGGCACCCACCGCAAGGTCGGCCGCGGCCAGCGAGGCTTTCAGGTAGCCCTGCGGCGTGCGGAAGTGCTTGGTGCCCAAGATTACCGCCAGGGTCAGGAGGTTGCCGAAGAGGATGGCCAGGATCAGCAGCACCAGGAAGACCACCAAAAGGATTTTGTTCGCCGTCGTGCAGCAGCACACGGTGCACTGCGCCTCCTCCCCATTGTCCGGCATGCTCGGCGGGCCGGGGTTGATCATTGGACAAACCCGGGCCAGATCTTTACATTAGCATCTGAAAGGTAAACACAGGATGTCAGTTGGAGTCAATATTTCTTACTAGTTTGGGTTCGAGTTACGGGTCCGCTTCAGTTTCTCATTTTTTGCTTAGGGACCCGGAAGTACTTGGAGGTAAGGTTGTTTGAGTTCTAAAACTGCTTAAGAGTAGTGCATCTGTGCGACCTTGAATCCACCGTTGGCATAGGTTCTGCCTGACCAACCTACACAAAAAGATATTACCGCTATTTCCAGTAGCAATATTTTATTAAGCAACGGGCCACTGACAAAATTTACTGACTCTTTGCGAAGAGATTACAGAACCAAAAGATTGGAGAGTATGTCAAGTTTAGGCTCGCAAGTAAAGTAACTCTAACTGTTGGTGACAACCGGATTGAAATTAAAAACTGACAGTCAAAGCAACACCTTGTGTAGTCCTTCTTGGGAAGATAGTTCCACGCTCGAGAAAGTGGAATCGCACTTTATATCTCTCTTTGACGAGATGACATTTTCCACAAAGGTTGAGGAAAAGGACGATGAAGGTGAAGAGATGTAGCTTTCGGAGTTTGGCCATAATTAATGTTAAGTTTCGGGTAGAGTTACTGATTGGAGTTTAGATTTTGGGGTATAGTTTTACTGTTTACCGGCAAAGAAGATGGTTATGGGTTTGCATTAGCGTTAGCAAGGAAGAGGTTTAGTATTTCGGTTCAGGTTAGCCTTACGGTTTAGGTTTTTTTGGGGGGAGAGGAAGCTAGTTATGGGTTTGCATTCGCGTTAGCAAGGAAGAAGTTTAGAATTTCGGTTCAGGTTAGCCTTACAGTTTAGGTTTGTTTTTTTGTTTTTTTAGGAAGGCAAAGGGGGAGGGGGTACTGTGTTAAGGGATTACAAAGAGAGGGGGAGACCATTTGGAGGATTAGGGTTCGAGGTTATAGATGGGTTCAACCAGATCAGTGATTGAGCCTCCGATCTTAACAGACATGTATCCATGTTAGCAACACTTAGCCTTGAACAGAAAAACACGCTGACGACAACCACAACTCTTCCAGCTAATCAAACTTTGTTATTTGACATTGAAAAAGCATTTTGTTGAAAACCGAAGCTTTCAATGTCAACAAAAGCAAAGCGATAAGGTTTGGCCATTGGAACAGATTGGATTTATTTCTCTCTCCGGGGTGAATACGCCTTTCACTCTTTCTTGAAGCAAAACACTTACAAGGTCGTTGTTTTGTCATAGACAAGTAGCAGGCAGACAAGTAGGCGCTAAAAGAAAAAAAAATGAACTGCTTGTTTACTACAATGACTTTAGCCTTGCACCACTGGGCCATTGTGTGTCATACTTAGAAAAAAACGAGTCATAGAATAATATATGCCGTATTTTATTCTATGACTCTATGACTGTACTTTTTACCATATATTATACGTATATTATACGGTAAAAAGTACAATTCAGTACATGCAAGTGGCAATGATTGTGCCGTGGCCAATACTCAAAAGGAATTTTATTTAGCTTTCCAAAAATCTTGAATTGTGGATCAAATTTTGACACTATGCTCTCATTTGATAGTATGGGGGAAAAAAAAATCTTTATTATTTATTGTCGCCCATTTGTCTAGGGTACCTGCATCTCATTGGAGGTCATTTTGGTGAATTCCCTACCGTAGAAGTTGGTCAAATTATGAGTCCTGGATTTTTATTTTTTTATTTATTTTTTGCAATCATGTGGTAATGTCATGGGATTTTATTTAAGTAAATAAGACGGTTCTGTTGGCTCGTGTGAGACCAGAATAAAAGGGCTGGATGGATGGATGATGATGTCACAATCTATGTGGCCAGCTGTAGTAGTAAACACAAGCCAGCTGACTGGGCCATTTTTTTTTTAATCCGCAGACATGAAGAAAAGAGGCGTTGCGAAACCAGCACCGCAGCCGTCGCATTTGGCACCCCGGGCCACGGACAACATTAGGTACACGTGTGCGATGTAATAACATCCTGTCACAGATTTATTTCGTTTAGTTTCATACAGTATTATGGTTACCTTGGTGTCTGATGTGCTCAATACAAATAAAGTCGTGTTTTTGTTTTTTGTTTCTTATGTCCCCACTAACTAAAAATGTTAAATATAAAAATTCCCTTTGTAGATGTAACCAAAAAAAAAAAACTCGGGTTTGATTTTGCCTTGCTTTGCTTTTGTGTATTGCTGGCATCAGGCCGAATCCTTCTATGTCACAGTTTGATATTTTTTTCAAGATGTTTGTATCACACCAACTACTACCAAGGAGGACTTACGCCATGTCAGATTTTTTTTTTTTTGCTTTAAGTATTGGCAGTCTCCATGAGTAGCCAATAGCTAAAAATAAAGAGTGGTATTGCCTACAGTATAGTAGCGTGACCTTAACAACCTCTTTCTTGTCTACAGTAGATGCTCCAAACTGTTCAAACTATACAAGAACCCCACCCCCCCCTCTGCGAGCCACCCTGTCATTGCTTATCTCTCAGTTTCACATTCATATCCTCAAGCGGCCAAGTATGGACACACACACACACACACACACACACACACACACACACACACACACACACACACACACACACACACACACACACAGTCCCTGCGTCCATGTAACTCTTCATGCAGAAGACTCGCTCATATCCAGCTAATCATCCTCCGCAGAGTGCCAGTGCAAATAGATGCATGGCAACAGTCGCATGTTTACATGCGTGGCCCTACATTAGAGATACTTACGGTTGATATAAAAAGTCTACACACCCCCGTTCCAATGACAGGTTTTTCAAGATACGAGTGAGACTGCAAGTTGGAACGTAGCCGTTAAATGAAGTGAAATGGTTGTTTGCATAAGTGTTCACACCCTCTCTCGACTGGGGATGTGGCCGTGTTCGGATTGAAACGCATCAAATTCATAGTAAGCGGGAGTCAGTGCACACCTGCTACCATTTCAAGTGCCTCCGATTAACTCCAAATAAACTTCAGCCGTTCTACGTTTTGACTGGTATTTGGATCTGTTCATAAATAAATATGCAGTGATCTATCAAACTGCACCCACAATATTGTCGCATGGATGCCTCTTTAACAGTGTCAGCGCATCAGTTGAAATTGAGCATTGATATTCGTAGACAGAATAAAAGGTTGCAAGAGTAATGGGTGCAAGACATTAAGATTTTCTCTTTTCAAATCTTTTCAATTTTTTTTTTTTTTGCCACTTTTTAAAACTGCTCAGAATTAAAAAAAAAAAATATTGTACATTCCCGGTTTTGTTTTCTGTGTGCTTCTGTAAGCACTATCATAAACATAGTTTGTGCAAAATTGTTTGAGAATAGTAAAAGATAGTTATTTCTTTTTTTAATATTTATTTATATTTATGATATATTATATTATACAAACTTGAATTAGTCACAGTTAAGGCCTTTTTTCTTTCAGATTTATTTTACCAAGCAGATATAGACACCAACATTTTACTATAAACACAAAAATCACATAGATGTGCAAGTAGTCCTGATGCGCAGTAATACAAAGCATCAGATAAGGTTTTATATCCTTAAAAGTGTACCAAAATATGATTCACTGCCAACCCCCAAGCCCCCAAAAAATATATACATATAGAGAGAGAGAGCTGAGAAGTCCTTATAAATTATGCTCGACTTACTTTAAGTGTCACTTTGAGGAAGCCACTGAAAGCTGCTTCTTCTTGCCGCCACCGAACAACCCCCCC